AAAAATAGAATTTCTCGGGTATGTTATTGAGGATGGTACAATTCGCCCCCTCTACTGAAAAAACCAGGGCTGTTCAAAATTTCCCGGAACCCAAAAACCTTAAGCAGATTCAAAGTTTCTTGGGCCTTACTAGGTATTTTAGGAAATTTATTGCCAATTATTCAAAAATAGCGAAACCACTAAGTGATCTTCTTCGTAAGTGGAGCAGAATTCAAATTTGGGCCTGAAGCAAAAAGATGCATTTAATAAAATTGAAAGAAGAACTTTTATCCACAAGTCCGGTTCTTCATATTTTTAAACAAGGAGCACCATTAGAATTGCATACAGACCCAAGCAGTCAAGGTTTTGGCGCTGTATTGCTACTAAAGTCAGATGATGGACAGTTACACCCCATTTACTTCATGAGTAAAAAAAAAACTAGTCTCCAACAAGAGAAGCTATCTAGTTATGAGCTTGAAGTTTTAGCTATAGTAGAAGCTCTAAGAAATTCAGGAATTACCTTTTAGGATCTAAGGTCAGGATAGTTACGGATTGTGATGCTTTCCAGAAGACCATGTTTAAGATCTAACCCCTAAAGTGGTGAGATGGGCGTTACTTCTAGAAGAATTTGACTATGAAATTGTTCACAGATCTGGGCAACAAATGAAGCATGTGGATTCATTAAGTAGAAAACGCTGTTATGATGGTTACTTGTTCTCAGGGAGAAAGTTACAGCCAAAATTGCAGCGGCTGCGCAAAGAAGTGATGAGCGTCTCCAGTTGCTAAAATCCTTAGTCGAGCAAGGACTAAAGAAAAGATTTTCTAGTGAAAAATGGCTAGTATTATACAAGTTCGACAGTGGTCGTGAGTTACTTGTGGTATCCCGAAGAAGAATTAGAGCTAGAAATCATACGTAGTATCCACAAAAAGGGACATTTCGCAAGTGTCTAAAACAGAAGATCTGCTAAAAACCGACTTTTATATTCCTAACCTTAGAAAACGAATTGAGCAAGTTATTTCAAATTGTGTAGAATGTATTTTGTGTGACAGAAAACGAGATAAGAGCGAAAGGTTGCTGAATGCCATACCAAAAGATAGTATCCCTTTGAACACTTTTCATATCGATTTTATAGGACTATTACCGTCGACAAATAAGAACTACAATCACATCTTAACCGTGGTTGATGCATTCACAAAGTTTGTGTGGCTCTATCCAGTAAAGTCTACATCAGCTCAAGAGGCATTGCAGAAGCTGAAACTGCAACAATCAACTTTCGGTAGTCCTTTGAGAATTATAAGCGATGAAGGTACGGCGTTTACCTCTAAAGACTTTGAAGATTACTGTAGTCAAGAGAAGATTCAGCACATATTTACAACTACAGGCGTTCCTAGAGGAAATGGACAAGTAGGAAGGATTCATCTCACTCTTATTCCAGTCCTATCTAAATTATCCATAGATGATCCAACCAAGTGGTACAAATATGTTGGAGATGTACAAAGGATCTTAAACAGTACTAAGAGCAGAAGCACAAAGAGTTCTCCATTTGAGCTTCTCACTGGTGTTAAAATGAGAAATCGAGAAGACTTAAAGATTATGGAAATTCTTCAAGAAGAAGAAAGACATATTATGATGAAAGATCGAGAAGATATGAGAGAGGAAGCAAGGAAAAACATTCTAAAAATTCAGGAAGAGGATAGAAAAACATACAACAAGAGAAAAGAGGCACAAGTATACAATGTGAACGGCTTAGTTGCCATACAAAGAACGCAGAATGGAGGTGGATTAAAGTTAAAGCCAAAGTTCTTCGGTCCATATCGTGTAACAGCGAGGAAAGTCAAAGATCGTTACCAGGTGGAAAAAGTGGGACACCATGAAGGTCCTGGATGTACCACTACAGCAGCTGATCTCATGAAGCCGTGGAATTCTACTATATAGGACTATGTGTGGTTCTTCCACACTTCCTTCTTTTTTTTTTTCCTTTTCTTTTGTTTTTTTAAATTTATTTTCAGGTGCTGTCTTGATGTTCCAGTGCTGCTAATCCGTGTTTTCGAGGACGGAAAAGTGTCAGGACAAGCTGTAGTATCTGTAAGTGCGACACAACCACCAGAGGGCCTCACCGATGCACGCAGCGAGGTGAAAGAGGAGTATGAAAGAGACTTTCTTCTGCTATCCCATGCGAAGGTGGTGAGATGTCTGTCTATACGTGAAGGTGTAGAATAAGGAACTGTAGTTTTCCACGCGAAGGTGGTAAATTGACTGTATAATACATCAGCAAGTGCGAGTAGGCACTAATCGGTTAAGTGATAAGACTAGCAAAAGCTATACAGAATCCTGTTTGCATCAAACGGCACTTGTGATTAATCTAATTTATACCTTTTCTGATTATCTTTATTAAATGTTCTGTGGTGTGGAAAACAACGTTGGAATTGTTATTTAACATCTTCAACTCCCCCACTACACATATTTCCTTAAATTATTTTAACTTAATTAAATGATATTTCAAGTCAAGTAGAAAATAGCATCCAAAATTGCAAATTTTTTAGATTAAATAACCCCACCAATTTTTCTCGTACGGCAATTCTTATAATTTGTTTTTGAATTTGTGGGATATATACATATGTACATAGAACTGAACTTTAGAACTCCTAATGGATGTTAGAATGAAAAGATGTAATCAGCAACTTTTCTCTGTGTTATGTATATATGTATATGATTAGTTAGTAATGTGATTTGTAAATTAAATATCTTATTATCTTAGAAGCCTTTCTTTTTATGATGAGTAGTGCCTCTGATGAAAAATATTCCCAGACATCCACCTTAGGATTAGAAAGAGAAAATTTTCAGAAAAGGTAAGCCTTTATTCTAAGAATGATTATCTTATTAATCATAACAATAGTAGATGAATCTCATGACAGTGACAAATGGCAGTCTACTTATTACAAACCAGTTACCAACTTATATTCCTACCGATTACATGTATTTTGAACATCAACATGCACTCTACGATTGACTCGAATAAAACTTCATTTCATGCAAATTGGAAAATTGACGATTACTCAGCAATACATTATATTCTTGTAAGAAACTATCATTGTTTAGTACATCTCACAGACCCATGATTGAACTATAAACTGGGGGGGGGGGAGTCCTTTTTTCAAACTGTAGCTTACAGATGATTTTAAAACTTAGCGATGCCATAAGATTGCAATCGCAATTTATTTGGTTATGGTGCTAAAAGCACCTACTTTTATATATTAAAAAAATTTTTTTTGGTTGTTTTGGGCTAATTTTAGCTTTTTTTGCCATTAACCCTTTGCGGCTCAGTGTTCCACTACATGGAACACCCAAATTGAATCGCTTCTGAAACCGTAAATAGATAAAAATGCCTTTATAATATACTTTGAACTTTTCTTTTTAAACAGTAGATAGCAGCATACCACAAGGAGACACAGAATTTTCATTTATGATGTGTTATTAAAATTCACTTTTTTTCAAGTAATTTTTTTCAATTTTTTAATGATATAAAAAATTTTATTTGTAAAAAAAAAAAAATTAGGCATAATTTTGCTGGCTGTACTCCAAATTATTTGTTCTATATTTTTTTAAATCTTTCACACAAAAACCATATGCAGAACCATTGAATGAAACCGGGTGTTCCATTACCGGGAACACTGCGCCTTTAGCGATCTCATGCTGTTACGAATCAGAACATCTGTGCTTAGGAGAGAACATCCGTTGTTTTGGGGAGGGGGAATGAATTCAAACAAAGCAGTATTGAGGGGTGAGGTGTGTTTTGTGTTATGAAAGCCCTAATATTGGCATTTCAAATTTTTTGGGAGTGGTTTTTAGGTGTGAATTTTATTAGTAGCTTGACTCATCTTTACTTAGATCTGAGCGAATTTTTTGCTGTCGCACTTTAGTCTCATTCCCGTTAATTTCCAATAATTGTGTAGATATTTTTCGTGTATGTACATATTATAGGCTTATTTTTCTTTATTGTTAATATTAATCGTAGTTAATTTTTTATTATTAATTTTTCATAAATGGTGCGGAGAGATCTAACTCTTTCGAAAGTGCTCTTTCCGAAAATTTGTAAATATTTTTGTATATAGGACTTGTGTATATAAATATTTATCTCATTTATCCATATATATTCAAGAATATTGTGTATATCCAGGAAAAAATGTATACAGCCATAATACAGAGTGCTTCAATGCAATGCTCGCTTAGTCACACTTTTAAAAGCTCTGACGGCGCAGTGTTCCATCTCATGGAACACCCACATAATTAAAACGGTAAGTGCAATTTTTACAAAATTTTACCTGTATACTCCTTTAGGACTAAATAGACTGCGTACAACTTTTTTTTGTTGAAATTCCGACGTTAACGTATAGTGCGCCGCAAAGGGTTAACACGTAAATATAAAAAATAGTAACTATGATAGGAAGAAACCACAGCTATCTTATGGGGGTGGGAAAAATTCTTAAATTCAAAAGTTAGAGTCAATCAGATGTTGATAAGCTAAGGTGTTAGCAAGTGTAATTTCCTATTTTTTGCTCTCAGAATTGACAGTAAAAGTAGAATCAAACAGGATGCAAGGGGGGAGGGATGCATGATGTAGATTTTATTTTAGCATGAACGCTTTCAGCGATTCATACATGATTGCCTTCTTCAGCTGCAACTAAAGACAAGAACAGTAAACAGAAAGACACATTTTAAGAACATCCTAAAAATTGATCCTAGGTGCCTTCTATTATGAAAAGAAGCAAAGCAAGTGGTTGCTATCTAGAAACAAAGGATATCCTGCCTTAAAATATAGTAGTTAGATTTACCTAAAAGCATATTTATTCATATTTGTTCATATCAAAATTGAGAAATTATAAACAAAATTTCTCAAAACATTTATCAAAAGGTTATGTACATAATATGAAACTAGCATTCAGAAAGAAAAAAAAACATTATTTTATGGAGGAGCTAATTCACTACATGATACGATTTAGGAAAAGAAAAATGAACAAACCTCTATTTCTACATCTGCATTGTGCCGTAAAAGAATCTTTATCACTTCAATGTGTCCATTCTGACTAGCAGCTTGAAGAGCAGTATGACTAGCAAACACTCCATTAACCTGAAAGTTTTTATATCATTTTTAGCATAAACTGCAGTATGAATACAAAATCATAATTTATAAAAATCAAATGTAAGAAAAAGATATTTTTATATACATGATTATTTATCTTTAAAGTAGATAATAGACATATAATAAATAGTTCATTACCATATTTAAATATTAAACCACTATGTGTCTGTTATTACATTTAACAGAACCCACTTATCTGAAAGAAGGGCAAAAGATTTTGATATCATATTTTTTTAATAACCCATATCAGGCTTGTTTCCATATAAATTAGTACTTTTGTATACATCATTTTCTTTAATCACATTATTTTTAAATATATTTTAAGTAAAATAAACTTCAGATTCATTATTTAAAAAATATGCAAATAATTATAAAAAACTGTTACATTTTTATGGCATGATTCAGATTTGTCATACTTGGAAATTTTTATTCTACTGTTTCAGATACTAAAAAAATGCAATTCCTCAAAGAATAACAAAAATACACTGGATATGCACAGCATTTAATTTAATGAAATTTTTTATATAAGTTTTTGGTAGCTTATATACTTTAAAACCAATCTTTTAGCAAACTGTACATTTTAATTGATATAGTCTATGAATGAATATAAACACTTACAAGATTTTTTTCACAGCTCAATATTTTTGCATGCAAATATACTGTGATCTCTTGTTTATATTATACAAGGTGTTTCATTTCTGAGGTTATGGCCCTCTTTACTGTCTTCTTTTTTTAGCATATTATACAAGCCATGTCTAAAAAACCTCCAGGACTGATGTTAGTATAAGGAAACAAATACGGTGAAACTTTGACTCAAAAATTAATTTATCCCTAAAGGACATCTGTTATCTGAAATGTTCATAAACAAAACATTTTCCCCATAGGGATTAATATAAAATGGATTAAGCTGTTTCTGGACCAGAGATGATCGCCTATTTAAAATTTGCATCTGTATTTTTTGCACAAGAGCAGTATAACAAATATTGCTCTTGTGATACAATAATGAAAAGCACAAAATAATGAAAATAAACAAACAAAAAAAAAAAAAAAAAAAAAAAAAAAAAAAAAAGAGAGAGAGAGAGAGAGAGAGAGAGAGAGAAAGAAAGAAAGCACAAAAATAATGGAAATCATCAAATCTAAGACACCGGGGGGGGATATGAAGGTTTTCAGGTTTTATATTATGCTCAGGGCATTTTTTTTTAACATTTTGTGTGCTACATTTATTTATTAAAAAACATGTTCTTCGCACTTAAATCACATTAAATTGAATTCAATAGCAATATCACAAAATATTTAAAAACAGCATATCTTTAGAATACACAGTCTCACACAGTGGAGATAATTTTTTTTTCCTCCTGTACAGTGTTGCCATTGTTTGCTTTGAAATCATACAGTTCATTATTCAAAAATTCATTAGAGTTTTACAAAATGTGAAATAGATAATAAAATAAATAACATATTCCAAATTCAGGCTTCCAGATGCCCATATGTGAGTGGACGACTACGTTATTCAGAATTTAATGTCTCTAAGTACAGTTGTCTTTTCATAGTGCGAGAAACATACATGCATTCATGCAGATTCGTCATTATTTAATTTCTTTAAATATAATGCAGGGCTCTAATATTTGGTTTTATTAATATTCAAAATTCAGGCTTCCTTGTGTCCATGTTAGAGTGGAGTATTACATTATTAAAAATTTGATGGATGGCTCTAGGTACCATCATTTTTCACAATGCAAGAAACATATCTACATTCCTGCACAATCTCCTTTATTTAATTTCTTTTAAAATAACACAGAGCGTAATATTTGGTGACAACAATTTGAAAAGTGATTCAGTCTTTTACAGAGATTCAACTCAAAAATCCCCTTTTGAGATTAACAGCCCTTCTGAGCTAATGCCCCTTTGTGTTAATAAACATAATATTAAACTGTTAAAAACAGATGGAAGTTTAATTTTATTCTACTGAACCTACATGAAGGAGAGAACAGAGCATAACTAGAAGTGATGAGGAAGAGAAAAGAGAGAGGTGTTTTGATTTGAATGATAATTCCCTTTCATAAAAGCATCAGATAACTGTTTTTCAGAGGCATTTTCTTATACTTTTGTCTCTTAGAATGACGATTCTGTGTGAGATACACTGGTCTCCATTTCATTTAAAATTTGCCAATGTTTTAACATACTTCTTTTGAGAGACATGATATTGTCATTCAAAATGCTTTGCAGTAGCTTTATACTGCTTTATCATAGTGGTATCACTACATGAAATTTTGATATCAGCATGATATCATTACATGAAATCATATCAAGGTGATATCATTACATGAAATTTTGCACATTTCAGCTATTTGGATAAATTTCATAGATCAAACAGCTATGCTTATGTTTGAACTTTACATAGTATAGAGGACGCTGTTGCGCCGAAAGAATTCATCTGCGTGTCTACGTTATGTAACTGTAGGTTCGCTGTTTCGATGTCTCTGTATTACTGTGATATATGTTGGTGTTTTCATTAAATATAAACGAAAGATATCGTCATGTATTTTTGATTACCAAATCAAGATCAAAATTAGACTGATGCAAACTCGTCAAAACAAAAATAGCAATCGAAGAAGAATTGTGAAGTGTTATACTTGCCTTTCGAACTACGCATTCGTATCGTTAATCGCTTCGGAATATGTGGTGCTGTCGCCGGGAAACATTGTACAGTCAAAAGTCGTTAATCCGGACTCGTCGAGACTTCGGCGATTCCGGATTATCGATTTTTCCGGATTATAGATCATCAGTTTAAATCTCGTAAGATGGCATGCAGAAATTCTAAAATTAAAAATATGAAACCGTAATTTATGAAATAAAGAACAATTATGATCTAAAGGGTATCAAAATTTACAAAAAAAAAAAAAAAAAAAAAAAGCTTAATATTTATTTGTTTACTTTATTAAACATTTCTGTCAATGTAAGTTGTTTAAGTTGCTTCGTTTTATGTGATAATACTTTCTCTTTAATTCTATAAACAGACATAATTTCTTGTTCAGTTACAAAAGTTCCACTGTTCAAGTCCCGTAATTGCTGTGCCGAGAATACAGACTAACTTGTCAATCGAAATTTTTTCGTTTTCACTAACCTCTCTGTCACTTTCTTCATGTCTTTATCCATTTTTGCAGCAATTCCACTTTTTGTTTGATGGACATCGAAAACATACTTTCGTTTTGTAGATCCTTTGGGAGCTCCAGCATCGGAAATTCTATTTGACATAATCGAAAGTTCAAGTTTACTTTTATAAAATTGCTCTTACAGTCTGCAAAAAATAATAAGCCGGATCCAATTTGAAGATTAAGGAACAACGCAATAATCAACATTAACTGAAATAGATAATTAGATAATCTTAGCTTATACCGTCCGTTATACATAAAATGCACACGTGAAAACGTATTCTGCGCTTGCGCACACGCATATTCGCAGTCGTAAAGGCCTTACGCGCACGCGTAAACACCTATGCGCATGTGTCAATGCGGCGCATGCGCAGAAAGTTTTTAGCTTTGAGGTCCGGATTATAGATCATTCCGGATTATGGGTGTCCGAATTAACGACTTTTGACTGTATTGTGGGGTGAGTAAATAGTTTTGTTGAAAATTTGTTTGAATAGAATATTTTGTTATTGTTGAAGTAGTAAAGTGGTTTGATGTCGTTGATCTTGTTTGGTAAAAATTTACAACTTTCGGTTTTGCATTTACTGAATGTTTGCATTGATATTTGGAAATTCGAATGTATTTGCACGTAAGAAAATGTTGTATTTTCTTAGAATTAGAATTTGTTGTTAATGCTTTGAAGTGTGATTTGCTGCTGAAAATTACAGTTTGTTTTCTTAGAATTCTAGAATTAGAATTTATTGTTAAAGTATTTGAGGGGCAAAATTTGTTACTAGAAATTGTGAAAATGGCTAAATAGTTAAAACTTCGAACTAAGCGTGACACACGTCGTGAACAAACTTTAAAGTTAGTAGAAAAATAAACAAGTATTTGAATGAATCGCATATCGACGTAGATGTATTTAGAACAGTTGAAAATTGAAATTATTAACATATTAAATAGTGACATTGATGAATTGTTGAAAGAAGAACAAGAAATTAAGGATGAAATTAACACAGTAGATGAATATAACGAAAAAATAATACCAAGTTAAAATAAAGTTGCAAAACAAAATTAAATCAATTGGAAAGGTTCCATATCAGTCAGGTGAACAAACAGTAAATCCAGAAAATGTTCACGTAGAAAATAAAATTTTGCATTTAGAAAACAGAACTAAACTTTCTAAACTTTCGCTTCATCAATTCTATGGTGAGCCTTCAGAATATTAACATTCTTGGAATCAGTTTGAGAATTCTGTGCATAATAATTCTAATTTAACTGAGGTTAACAAATTTTGCCATTTAAAGTCGTTGTTAGGTGGTAAAGCCATAGCTAATATTAAAGGATTCTCAATTACTCCAGAGAATTATAAACAGGCTGTTAAATTCATTTCTGAAAAAATTGGCCAAAGAGACATTTTAATAAATGCTCACTTGTTGAATTTATTAAATCTGGCACCTGTAAAAAATGCTTCCAACATCCAGGCTCTTCGTAACTTTTATTTTGAAGCCCAAACTCAAATTAGATGTTTAGAGGAATTAAATGTCAAATTGGAAACATACACAACAATACTGACTAACATAATACTAAAAAATCTGCCAGGAGAATTGACTCTTGAATTTTCTAAACAAAATATAAATAATTGTCATGATTTACAGGAAATGATGAAGTTTTTACATAATGCTATTAGTGCAAGAGAAAAAGAATTCCGTAGTAATTCTAAAAATGTATCATCACATAATAAATTTCATTCTAACCAACACAAACAAAACTTCCCTTTGAGTTGTAATAATCAACACGCGTCAGTAACGGAATTTATGGCAAAAACTTCCCAAGTTTGTTTATTCTGCCGTCAAGGTC